AATTGGTCTTCCAGCTGTTCGTTATATGCTCAATTTCCTTTTTCCAGACACTTATTGCTACTTGTCCCAACTTTTTTGGGATTTGTTGACACTGTGAAATTTTGAATCAACATATTTTTCCTTTAAAATGTTACATTTACTCAGATTAAACTTTTGATCTGTCATCTATGTTATATTACGAATAAAATATTGACATTTGCCATCTCCACATCATTGCATTCAGTTTTTATTCACAATTTGTTTAGTGTCCCAACTTTTTTGGAATCTGGTTTGTACTTGCTTTCAACAGGAAGCACTCAGGGCGATAAACAACAAGGGATTTTGTCGTCAGAGCTCACAGATATGTCACATGATTCTGACGTGACCTGAACAAGCTGTACAAAACATGCAACACCCACTCCTGGGTTTTATTTCAGTGCACCAAAATATGACCCAATCAGAACAAAGCCAAAAGAAATTAATCATTACCGTGTCTTCCATTTTTGATTTCTTCGCCTGCGACATGATTTCCTGAGAAAAAAGAAATAAAAATTCAAGCAGAGCCCATGTAAACAGATCAAAAACTTTTAAACGATAAAAAACAAAACTCACTTCTTTTGACATGACATCTGCTATTTTGTAATCTTCATCTCTCTTCCTTTTCCTTTTATCTAGTTAGATTAAAATAAATAAATATGCACTCAACTGTATGTAAAGGCTTCTTCACAATCACAACTCGTCAGCATTAGTGCAAACTGGATCATTAGTTGCTTATTTTCATGATGGATTTTGCAGACTGCTCACCTTTCTCTGCATCAGCGCTGTGGTCCTTTTGAATCTATAGAGAGAAAAAACACCAATATTTATTGAGTATGTCGAGAATAAACCAGTGTATTCAGGTCACATGTCTCTTACCTTCTTGGATTTCTTTTTAGGTTTATCCTTCTTGAGTTGCTCCTAAATTTAAAACAACAAAGTATTACATAGTATTAGCTACTGGTGTTGGTGACAATAGAGTTAAAAACAAAAAGTACCTCATTCTGCTGCTGCTCCATCTTTGTCAGCAGGAATTTAGAGTAGATATTACTTTTCTGAAGTAAATGTTGTAGTCTTTTGTACCGCATGTCATGGGAGTCCCTCTTCCATGTCTCCCGGACCTTATGGTAAAAATAATAATTAATACAAGTCACCAACATCTAAAAATTCAACTGAGCTTGCTGTACACGAGCTTAATTAATGTGTGGCATCCTCATTTGAACAATTCTGGACAATAACTGGTTTAAAACTACGTACAATCCTCTACATTTTCAATAAAAGAAAAAAGTTGCGTTTGAACAGCACTATTGTTTAAGATATAGTATATAATGAGTCAGACATTTGGTAAGAAGTGTTTAAATATAGTTTTAAATCACAATGCCCTAAAAACTCACCGTGTAGTAAAATAAAAGCAGTGTTGAAACAGACCAAAAAACATTGCAGACCAGACCAACAGACCACATAGTACTAAAGAAAGTGTCGTACTGGGTTGCAACTGTTGAAAGACCTAAAACTGTGAAAAATATGTGAGAAGAGCTGCATTTTCAATTTGTCTCACTGATTTTTGGGTGTTTGCGACAACTGATACATACAGTCATGTTTCAAAGTGACCAATTAAAAAACATATGTAAATAATAAAAGCCTGTTATGTATAAACAACTTACAAAACTGTATTCTAGGTCGTAAAAATGCATTTGTTTGCATAATGTTTTTAAACTGTGGCAAAGGTTTTTATATGACCAAGCAAGAGTCAGTGGACCTGGACCTTGTGTCACAGGAGTATTGAATATAGGATGAGACTAATTTTATTTCAAAATAGCTACAAAGTTGTTGAGGTTGTTCCAAATAATCTCAAACGTTGAGGAAACAAAGTTTGTTTGGGCGGACAGTCCGTACTTTACGAGAAGCTGAAGCGTAGGACTCCTGAGGAGTCCTCATATGGTCCTCCCTCTGCAGACACCACACACGCTAAGCATTTCAGTAATAGGACAAAAACAACAAACCTGCAGTGCAGGACAATGATTAGCATGATCAGAGATCGCCATGGAGACGAGGGTAAAATAGTGATGGTAGGTGACATGTTTGACTGCTCAGTATGACCAGAGTTAAAGAGTATAATGTCCTGACTCAACAAATGACAGATGGAGAAGGAGAGGCACTGTTCTGACTTAAAGATGTCAGACATTAGTACTGACGGCCTGACAACAGTTTGTGAAGTTCTGTGTGAACGATGTGTCAAGAACAAGCTGCAAGAACTTCAGTCACACAGATTCTCATGACTTCACGCTGCAGCTGCGTCACAAATGAGCAATTTTGTCAGACAAATGTTGTGCCAGTGAGTCTGCAAACTCCCAGAGAACTCTGGTCCAAATTTCACTGGGAATTTGTGCAACGTTATCAGTCAGGTGTGATTCCAAGTGAAAACGTTGAGCATTTTCTCACATTTGTGGGTCTCCAGCTACAGCTGCAGCCCAGTGAATCAAGACATATGCCATGCAGGTGTTTCAACACCAGGTTGTTCAGAAAGAGTTGAAGCATGAGAGGTCTTAACAATGCTATGAAACAACTACACTTACTTAAACATAAAATAAACTCAATTTATACTTAACACCTGGACATTTTATAAAGGGAATTATTGATCAACAGACCTTTTCCATCATTTCTTTCTCTTTACTCTCCCCTTCTTTCATTAGCTGCTTTTCTTCCTCCTCCATTTCCTTTGTGATGACCACTCCAGGAATGTTTTCAGACTTTGTGCTTCCATCTTGGGAGAAACAAAAATAACAATAAAGCCAGTAGCTGGAAACTGTTCATTTGTTTGCTGAATTGTCCCTCCTTTGGCTAACCTGGTAAAATGCTAACACTGCTTCTTGAAACGATTGGTCTTTGACCAAAAGTGTTAAGTCAGGTCATCTGGACAGATTTTTCTTGATTGAAACGTTTTGTCTTTCATCTGAAAAACTTCATCAATCTGAGGCCCCATTTACACCAACACGGTGGAGGGATATGTAGATTTTTTTTTTATGTTAATTTGAGGAAAACATCCGCGTCGACACAGACAGATTTTGTGTTTACATTGCATCAACAGGAATCCCCCCCCCCCCCCCAATCCGCTGTAGTTTTCAAACCAGGTCATTAGTTGGCGCTGTGAATTTTGTACATTCACCTAATGCACATGCAGCTGTCTGTAAGGATGTTCCTCTGGGCTAAAAGCTCCGCTAACAACTTAACAACAAGTTAAAGCTGGATTTTGATACGAGTCGACAGATTTGACGCCAAGCGGGACCGCTTCATCCAACAGCTCCACACTGGTCACTGAGCGGAGCAGAACTGATGACAATGTCAGACTTTCTACTCGGTGATCATCAGTAGCCGATTTACAGCAGGTAAATCAACGTTCTTAATGTTAGCTTGTGTTTACTTTGATTACACAACAACCAACTGAGTTTTTATTTTCCCTGTGAGAAGCTCTCCCACCAGAGGCGGACTGGTTCTGAATGAGCCTCGGCCCAGGTGCAGTGCAGGAGGACGTCGAAGAGAGAGTTGTCAGATGAACTATTCATTTAAAATTCCCCTCAGTTCTTTTTCCCAATTCATTCAATGTTTTAAGTTACATTAAGGAAAGGAGTGACCGCCTGAACGAGCCAGATAAACAACATGGCGTCAGTATCCAGGATGACAACAGAGGAAGAGTCCAGTTCATTAATGTAGTTTACAGTTCAGTTAACATGTTTTAATAGGGTTCAGTTTTCTTACAAGTGTTTGTGTGACATACAGCTTGTGGTGTTGAATAAATAAAAATTAAACTTGATAACTTAATTTTCAACTTTAATAACACGCAATGTTTCGCATCATTTAAATCACATAACTTGAATTACATAATGTCCAAATAGCTTCATTACATCTCCCACCACTAACAGAAATACTGTTAATTATTGTTAAATTGTTATTAATTAGCACATTTAGTATGTTATAGTCCAGTGCGACGTGAAACATATGCATGTCTCCACAGACTCGTTCAATAAATAGAAATATTAGACTTGGATCAGACTGGCGTCTCTTCCCAACACAGATGTCGGTCACAGCAGCTACATTCTGGTGTAGATTAATTATGAGACTCGACGAATATTCATCCAACAGTCATAGCACAGAAAGCAGTCTGTTATACTCGGGCGCCATTGTTGTTGATAGAAATATGCGGTCGATGTGTGCATGCGTGAAATACCGACGCCTGTTGTGCGTATGTGCTGTCACCACTCTGCAGGAGATGTTTACAGTATCACCAGGCAGTCTCCTGAAAACCTCCACTCTGAGGTGGGCTGAGAAACCTCCGGATTCAAAGAAGGGGGCTAGTAGTGTCGTGTAAGGGTGTTTTCACACCTGATAGTCCGATAGACTCGGTTCGATTGGGGACCAATATTCACAACATTTATTTACATTTTCAGCTGGTGTGGTTCACATTCACACTGCACTGAGTCAGTCGAGCCAACCTGCCCCCCACCCCACCCCCAAACCTGTGGTGACGCTGCTCCAAGAACTACTGAAGGAAATGACACAAAAACTTCTGAAGAAGATGCTGAGCGCAACTTACTTCTGGAAATAAAAACAAAAACAGAGTGGTTTCAAATTTTAGCAGTTTTAGGATTTCTGTTTTGTCATTTTTCAACAATGGACTCAGCATGAGTGGAAGATGACACAGAAGGCCATGAGAATATTGTTTTTCATACAAGGAAGCTGACTGCTCCGTATGAGGTAAGAGAAATGTGCATATGTTTGCCCTGCGCTGAAGTCCACTTCCTGCTTTTGGAACGGTTTCTGGTCCACTTGTATTCACAATGCATTCGAACTGCGCCAGAGTTCACTTCAACCGAACCGAGACCTACATATTTAGGCGGATCAGTGTTAACGTTTTTGGTCGATTGTACATTCACACCTCCCCAAACGAACTGGACTTTCTAGGCAAACGGACTAGGGTTCAATTAAAGTGGACAAAACAGGGCTGGTGTGAATGCACCCTAAATGAACAGCCGAACAATTGAAACATTGTATGACTTTTTATAACCGTTTATTGTTGTCGCTGTTGTCCATTGTCATCATCATTCTTTGTTGAAATCAGGTCTCTCTTGTAAATGAGTCCTCGAGGCTCAATGGGATTTACCTGTATAAATAAATGTTCACTGAACTGCAGAGAAAGGTGCGGTTTCACTAAAAATATGCACCGTGTAAACTGCCCCTTATAAATAGCACCTTCTCAAAGTGTTTAAACTAGTTTATTGGGGACATTCAGAACAAGCTTTTCACATTGGCTGAGTGGTTACAGCAGTCGTCCTCCAATGCAAGAGTTAGGGGTTCGATTCCAACAGCAGTCACATGCCGAAGCGTCCCTGGACAAGACACTGTACCCCTCATTGCCTCCAATGTGTGTCCCATCAGTGTATGATTGTGATAAAGCTCTGATTAGTTTCTACAGATTCAGACTGGCTTTGTATAGATCTAGTAGAGTGCTGTATGAATGGGTAAATGAGGCACAAATTGTGCTGTAAAGAGCTTTCAGTATCCTGATGATAGAAAAGCTATATACAAGTGCAGTCCATTTATCATTTACATGTAAAAGGAGGACCATCAGTCTAACAATTGATCTTAGTGCCCTGATGGCCGCTTGTTATTCACAGAACTAGCCTGATGCAAACCTGGCCAAAGGGTTCAAAATGCTGATCTTTGTGTGTGTTTGTGTGTGAGAGGGGGGTTTACTGACCAGGAGTAGCTTCTGTCTCCATTGTTGTACCAAGGGGCTCCTCGGATTCATCAGGTTTGGGACACTGAGGAGAAGCACTTCGAGTTTCCTCCTTTAAGCTGCCAGAACCACAAAGATCATACAACCCCCACAATGGTGTTACAGCAAGGCGGAAAACTTTTTATACATGTGTCGGAATATTTAATAAAACATAGGGTGTGTAGAGCTTTTACTCTGCAGAACAGAAAGATGAGCTGAAGCCAAAATAATTATTTAAACCAGTGTTTTTCCTGCAGGCATGTTCAGTATTCATCCATTCATAACAATAACGAAGATAAACATTACACATGTTAAAAAAACACATTACATTACGATTAAATACAAAATAAATACTGAAATTAACTTAATGGTAGATTAAATTTGAAACTTTTTTAATAGTTTACAAAAAACTTACCAGCTCATTGCAATGCTAATTCCAACTTTCTGCGATCTATAACGTTAAACCTTTCTGTTCAGCAAAAAATGGTTACACAAGCAGGTTATCTAGTCATTAAGCTAACTTTGTTAAATAGTAGGCTAGTCAGAACAACTGTCAGTTATTACGTTAGTTAGTAACGTGCAAAAACACCACAACTTCTTTCGAAAATACTATCTAAAAGTAAAAAGACTCGCAAAAACATGAAACGAAATCGCCGACTTGAAATCGCACGTTGTTGGGTAATCTGAAAATGAAGGTGTGTAAGTCATAAAGTAGCTGGTAAAGGAGATAAGAACATCCGCTTATCGAGTTTCAAAATAAAATCTTTATCTTATCAGAACAATGTAGAAAAGGCTGGAAACGTTGAGATAACTTTTATTTTGACGAAAATCTTTAACTTCCTGTTATTTAACTTCCTGTCATTCAGGCATTCCTAACATACATTTGTCTAACTTGACGCAGGCATGAACGCAATCGTAGGCGGGTCCAAAGCGTTTCGCGCCAATACAGACGAGACCATTACTTCCAAAATAGGGGTGAAAGACGGTTAAAAGTTATTGATGTTGAAGTATTTTAGAACTTAACGCTTACAGAAAAACTAATTAAATTGTTAAAATACAAAATCATAGTATCAAAAAACCTAAACACGACAAACAAAAAACATAATGTGAATTCAGCACTGCCAAAAAGTATATTCACCCCCTCGGGATTGAAATAAATATATTAACCCCAGTCCTAGTGTTGTTGGGGCACGCCAGCTCTAAAATGTTGTTTTTTTTAACACTTGACATTTTTTAGAGTCTAACTGAATATCAACGAAGCAAAATGCAATAAATGTTTAATAGTTTTAATTTTATACAGCCATGCTGCTCTTAGTAATGAAAAACCATCATTAAACATCTGAAGCACAGAACAACCATAACACCATCTCCTCCTAGGACACAGGAAGTTTAAAAAAAAGACATTTTATCTGTCTCAATATTAATATTAAGGGCCTTCTCCTACTCCGCTCCTGTAACCTGGAACTCCTTGCAAAAATATCTGAAGCTGTCGACTTTGACCTCTCTAAGAGATTTTAAACATTTGTTATGTTTAATGCAAAAATCAATGCAAACATGTTTCTGTTTTTAGTATTTTACAGTTTTATAATGTAGCATTTTTTATTTAATTTTTTATCACTTCTTTTATTTACTTTTCATTTTATATGATTTTATATGATTTTTTAAATATTTTTATTGTGGTTTGTACCTCATCTGTGGATTGTTGAAAACCGTTCTATTTCGTATAGGCTTCGCACTTTAAGGCTGTCGCTGGTGGGTTTATCCCGACATGCAAAGCATTGCACTGAAAAAATTTAGTCCACGCCCACCTGTTGTGTGGGTCCCACCCGGTCCGTATAACCGGTCCGTATAAATTACGTTAAGAGCAGGTAATCGGCTCCCATTTTTTCTTCAGTAAGCTAATAGCACTGTCAGAAGAACGAAGAAGGAAAGTTGTCCAGCTTGACTGGCACAACCTTTGTTGAGGCTGCCTGGGTCCCTGCCACGCCAACCTCCTGCTGTCCCGGTGAGTTCTTCCTCCCCGAGGAGACGCAGACGAGCAGCCTTGTTTCAAGGTAAGCACCGAGGAATATTTTTTCAGTGGCGGGTCGCTACCCGCTGGACGACACCATCGACCCTTTTTTTCCTTTTAACGCCGACTCTCGGAGCGAATCAGATGGTTCCTCCGGGACAGGCGACATCAGCAGCAGCCCCTGCTGCTCACTCCCTCTTGGAAAGCGTAGAGTTGGAACAAGGTGGGCTGAGCGGATGCTTACCCCCCTGGGCCTTTTCACATTGGCGACCACACCGCTCCCAGCTGTCGGTGCCCTCCTCTCTGAGCTGCTCGGCATAATCCAGAAGGCGGCTGACATGAAGGGACTTTTTTCCGTCCCTCTCCTTCCCCCGCCCAGATCGAATGATCTAGCGGGAAGGTTTTTGTCTCCACCCCGGCTCGCCGTCCTGATCCCATCTGGCCTCATTTCCCAGCAGTGACGTCCTACTGGACCAAGGCTACGGCCAGACCTGGTAGACTGAGAGCACCGGTTTCCACATTTGTGCCCATCACCAGAGTGGAGGGGTTTTACTGAGCGGAATTTCCCTCGGTGCCCCACTGGAGCCAAGCCTGGTGGAGGCTCTCGAAGCAAAGATGTCCAGGTTGGACCAGCGTCCTGCGCCTCCGAGGAAGCATGACCAGATGGTGACGTCGCTCTCCATCCGAGCTCACCAGTATGCATTCCAGGCGGCAAAAATAATGTTGCGCCGCTGACGTATAGCATCTCAGAGGCTGGAGGGAACAGACCTGCCTCAGGAGACGAAGAGCTCCCTTTGCAAGGCGTCTGACGTCACCCTCAACCTGTGCGCCTCGTCTGCCTGTCTCGCATCACAGCCTGGATGACAATGGTTCAGAGGTCCACCTGGCTTCGTCACTCCCCCTCCCTGTCGGAGAAATTGCAGATGGACTCGCTGGAGGGCCCGATCACAACGGATGTGCTGTTCTGAGCCAATTTCAAGGCCATGCTCGAGAAATCGAAGAAGGCGGAGTAAGTGTCGGAGACTGTGCGCCATCTGATCAAGCCGCACCCCTCCTCTCGCCCCCCCCCCCCCGCCCGCTGGAGACAGTGCTGTGGCCGAGACAGCAGAGACACGCCACAGCTGCGTCTTCTCGCTCCGCTGCCAGCCCCTCCCATCAGAGTACCAACCTCCTCATCCCGGCAACCAGCGGTGCTGCATTTCCCCAGAGACCGCCAACAGGCACCGCCCTGAAACAAGCCACAGGGCTCACGGGGGAGAAGATTCAAAAATGATTCATTGCGGAGGATGTGTGTGTGCATAATGATGGTTTGAGTTTTGGAATAAAACGTAAACATCATTCAGGAATTAAATTGTCTGATTTCAGCCTGACTGTCAGTTCGTATGATCTCACAGTGGCTTCTCCTCACACATTCCTCCACACAAAGCGAGCCAGTGTCCTCCAAGCAGGGTTTTAAATCACCGCAGCCCAAGAAATTTTTTATTTTTTTTGCCAAGATGGCCGCGCTCAGAGCAGTTGCAGCTTCACAGGCTCCCGGTACCATCCCAGTTTTTAGAAGTTTTGATATTGACTCTGTGCCTGACTCCGCGCGATTTATGTGTGTGAACTATAGCCGAACCGAACTGATGAGAATAGGAGCGGATTTGCCACGAAATATAGCAGAAATCAGCAACAAACTCAAAACTACGCTCGGCAGAATGCAGATCTTAAAGTCATCTACCTGGAAGCTGCAGCAGAGGCGTTCCAGCGGGCAGAAGAGGAAGCGCTGCTCCCGGCTTAAGAGGAGAGGATGCCGGGCGGGGGTTATGGTGAGGCTACGAGCTAACGCTAAAGCCGGTAAACTCCCCATGCCGTCTCTCTTTCTGTCGAATGTCCGCTTGTTGGACAACAAGATGGATTTACTTCGTCTGAAAGCGGGCGCCTCAGAAGAGATGAAGAAGTGTGCGGTACTTTGCCTCACGGAAACGTGGATTACAAGTGAAACGCCGGACACAGTCTTCCAGCTGGATGACAGACTTTTTTTTCGAGCGGACCGCTGCAGCGAGCTAACGGGGAAATCACGGGGAGGCGGAGTATGCATTTACGTGAGTAAAAGTTGGTGCACGAACTGTACTGTTGTAAATAGCTCGTGCTCGAAGGCTTTGGAGCAAATAACAGTGAAATGTTGGCCACATTATCTACCCCGCGAGTTCACGGTGACTTTCATCTCTGTCATTTACATTCCTCCGGACGCTAATGCTAATGAATCACTGCAGGAGCTACATGATATCATCAGCTCGCTGCAGAACAAACACCCCGAGGCTCTTTATGTGGTAGCCGGAGACTTTAACCACGTGAATCTAAAGGACTGTCTCCCGAGCTTTAATCAACATGTGACAATTCCGACACGTGGAGACCGCACGCTGGACCGTGTTTACACGAACGTAAAAGATGCATACAAAGCCGAACCCCGCCCCCGCCTAGGACTGTCAGACCACATCTCAGTCTTCCTGGCTCCTGCTTACATGCCCCCGCTGAGACGCTCCAGACCGGTACAAAAGAAAATTAAATGCTGGATCCAGGACAGTGGCCCCATACTGAGAGATTGTTTTGACCGAACAGACTGGCAGGTTTGCAGAGAAGCTGCTGAAAATGGAGGTTCGCTTGATCTTGACCAATACATATCCTCAGTTCTGGGTTACATTAGTACATGTACTGACACCGTCTCCACTATCAGAAATGTTAAAAGCTACCCAAACAGAAAACCTTGGCTGAATGCAGAGGTGCGTACCCTGCTGGAAGCCAGGAACACTGCCTTCAGGTCTGGAAACTCAGAGGAGCTGAGTAGGACAAGAAAAGAGCTGGTTGCTGGTATTAAGAGGGCCAAGGCCACATATGCACAGAGGATCGAGGGTCAATTCATCTCACAAGACCCTCGGAGCATGTGGAGGGGCATTAAGTGCATAACAGATTATAAAGGAAGGAGCGAACAATGCCCCAAAGACCCATCTCTGCCTGATGCCCTCAACAAGTTCTATGCACGCTTTGAAGACCCGAACAGACCACCCAGCACCAGACTCACCTCACCACCGAATGAAGAGCATCTCAGCGTGACCTCAGCCGAAGTAAGGAGTACCTTCAGGAGGATTAATCCGCACAAAGCAACTGGCACAGACAACATCCCCGGAAAAGTGTTGAAGGAATGTGCTGATCAGCTCTGTGAGGTGCTGGCAGACATCTTTAACACCTCACTTACCCTGGAGACAGTTCCCACCTGCCTGAAGACTGCCACCATCATCCCAGTCCCAAAAAGCTCTACAGTGACTGGTCTGAATGACTATCGGCCAGTGCCCCTCACCCCGATAGTCGCTAAATGCTTCGAAAAACTGGTCATGACTCACATCAAAACAACAATCAACATCAACGAGGACCCTCATCAGTATGCATACTGTGAGAACCGATCAACAGAGGATGCCATCTCCT